CAGAAAAGGGCCAAACAGATCCACGCTCCATGTACGGCCCTTATCACAGCCATCACTTGAAAACTTGACTCTGACCCTCGGAAGACTGACCTGACATTTCACAGACCGCCGGGGACCTGTCAGGTACAGGACCCTCATGGGGACCTGTGACGTCATTCATTTGCATATTCAAAACATGACGTCATCGTGTGTTTTAGAGGCGACCGGTGGGGACCGAGGATGTAAAACTCATTATTCAGACGTCTTTTTTGATATTTGACTTATTTGGGCGACTTATGAGCAGCAAAACACCTGAAAACATTCACATGAATAACTCAGATCAAATGTCAAAGGTCACACAGGCATCAAAACACAGTCTGGTCAAAGTCGTCTGGACGACTTGGTTTGTGAAATAACTCTTCTGATTAATCTCTGAATAGCCAAATGACAAAAGCATCTGCTGGTTCAAATCTTTGCAATCTTTTTATTGCAAACATGAACAGTAAAGAATTGGCTGGATCACATCCATGAAAACATGTCAAATGTTTTTCATAAAGTACAGCTAACAAACATAAAATAATACTTGTATATGTTTGAACAAGTACGAGTATTGTCCACATTCTCCATTAAGGCATTTATCAAATAAACAAAAGGATTGATATAGAACTTCTTTAGTAACTCTTCCTTTTTGTGAATAAATAAAATCAAAAGTATTACTCACAGTGTCTCCAGTACACTGTGTATTAATCTGAAAACCCAAAGTATAAACATAAAGCTCAGAGTAATACAGGTGATTTTGTAAAGTCAGTCTAAACAAAAGCTCTGATGAAAGTATAAGAAGATAAAGTGAACAAGTGCAAAGTGTCTGTGTGTTTGACATGAAAGACAGAACTGGCAAGAACCAAACATTTTCAGTATTAACATATTCCCTAATTTATGGTAGGGTTAAAAGCCAGAACAAACCAAACAAATGCTCTGAGATAAAAAGATGGACTGGAGAGAATAAGTGTGAACAGTGTTTGGTACATTTCAGGTCAGTTCTATCCTCCATTTTGGAGAACAGAACTGACCTGAAGTTGCATGATCTTTTCAGAGTCATCGTCTTTTCTCACACTCCCTCCGGTGTGCTGTTATTCGGTTCTTGATGTAAAACTTAACAGATTCCCAGGTTCTATGTTTAAAAATTTCCGGCGCTGACCTGATGCAGTCTTCACATTGTCTTTTTCCTGGTACCCGTCCAGATGTGATGTGGTCCAAGAGCTTGTTTTCAACCAGCTTCACCTCCTCTTCTGTCCATTTTCTTTTGGGGCATTTTCTTGACACACCTGGAAATGAAAATAATTTGACCACAAGTTTCCAAACAGGCCTGACTCTAAAAAGCTGTGTAGAGTTTAGAGATTATATGTAGAGGAAATTTAGAAATGCATGGAGACAGATTGTTCAGAAACTTTGTGAAGCAGAACAGAAAATATGTGAGCAGCAGCGGCTCAGGAGGGAAAGGATTTGCCCAGTGAGCAGAATGTTGCTTCTTCGATTCTGGCTCCTCCTGAACCTTTGCTGCACTGTCCTTGAGCAAGACACTAAATGTCAAACTTGCAGGGTGGCACCTTTCCTGACACTTCAGTGTGAGTGTGTGAATATTTGGCACTGATACATAAATGACTTTGAGAGCCTTAATGAGTAGAAAAGTGTTGCATAAATGTACCATTTAGCAGCACAGTTCAGACTCTTTACCTGAGTTTGAAGGAGTCTCTCTCTCCTTTGTAGACTCCCAACCACACAAAGGTTCTCCTGGAAGACAAAGCAAATAAACATCAACATGTTTGGCAAAGTGGCAAAAGTGATGAAAAACCAAGCATGCACTGTATAATCTAACATTGTATATTCAGAGCTTTATGTGAGCAGAGCCTTCAGCCACATTGAGTTACTTGACAGATGAAGAAGAAAAGGCAACTTTAAATTACACTCTGATGATCAGGTAATTCATTCTCAGTCGATAGGTTTGACTCTACCTGTAGAAGCTGAGGGGGAGTGACGTTCGCTTCTTTGGATGTTTCCTCCCACTCTTCCTTGAAGACTTGCTGCCAGTTGAGGGTTCCTCTGAACAGACAAACAGAATCATGACCTTTGACCCACCTCAGCTGGACTAAACCCAAATCAGATCAACTGGGCCACACTTAAAGGACAGAATTAGTTTGAAAAACAAAACTAAAAGTTTATCTGAAGTGTGTCTGGAGGCTGTAGACAATGTGGCACAAAAAGTTGTTACCTGAAGAAGTTGAGGGGGAGCGAAGTCGCTTCTTTGGATGTTTCCTCTCACCCTTCCTTGAAGATTTGCTGCCAGTTGAGGGTTCATCTGAAAGACAGAAAATAAAGACTTGACCTGTAGACCAAAACTAAAAGCAAGATGTTATGAGCTCATACAAATATGAAAGAGGACATATGCAAAATCAACTTTTAGTATCTTTTAACCATGTTACATCACTGTCCCCCATTGTTGTTTCTGCATTTTCTAACAGGAAGTCAAGGGCCCTGTGTCTTTTTCCAGTTGTTTTAGTCCTATTTCACATTTTATGTATGAACAAAAACTAAAACAATTATTTTCTTGTGTCCTAGTCTGATGCAAAGAAATAAAAAGCATCATAAGTCCTTTTTAAAATTTACAGATATCACATTATTCTTTATTACCCCTTCTACCCCCCCGACCACACATACAATTAGAATTTCTTAACAAGCAGTCATGTACCTGTAGGTGTTGTAGAAGACTCGCATTGCGTCTTCGGTTGTGACATTTCACTCTCACTCCCCTCATCCTCACTGTCAGACACTTCACTATCTACATGCACTCTCTCTGCAATATGAAGAAAAACATTTGTTTCAATGCCCCATATAAAGTCTGACAAAAGATTTCCTTGTAATGCGTTCTTACCATAAGGTTCAAGGTTGATCTCATCGAGATTTTTACCCTTGAACTCTGACACTCTTCCCTGTTCAAGGGCCATCAGCACTTTGCTGATTTTTGCAAGTTGTAACGTTCCTTCAGGTAAGCGATAAAACTTTCTATGAACTCTGATATCGTGTCCCAAAAAAATCAGCTAACTGGTCCATCTCTGTGTCCGTTAGATTTAGTACTTTAGATAGAGTTGCTACATGCTTGCGCAGTTTTGTGGATGACAAAGACTTTGGCTGTTTGGCTCCACACTGGTGGGCAATATTTCTGATACAATCCGTACCTTTGTAAAATGATGCCTCTGTCGCAGGCTTGGCAAAAAAAAAAAGATTGTCATCCAGTACACCACATGTTTGACGATTCTGTACAAGTAGCTCCATGGAGTCCAACATACTTGGGGTCAGGAGTATCGGCACTTTTCTGTCTCGTTTGCCGCGAATTTCGATGCGCTGGAAATGTCGACAGAGCTTCTTCTCAACTTCAGATAAAGCATCAGCAACATCTAAATGCAGATCAGTGGTGTTTCGAAGAAGATATGAATTCAACTTCATTTTCGATACTTCTCCTGCCCTCCGACGATTGAACAGAATTATTTCACAAAGAGTTACTTGTGCAAGATTTGCCCAGTTCTTCTGACTTTTATCAGCTTTGAGCTTTTCTTGGTACCGTTTAGTTTTACTGTTGAGATGCATGTGCATTTTTTTGACATCGTCAGTAAAAGGCAGAAGTTCTGGAGCATTCCACTTTGCTTCATTAAGCGTTTTCATGGCTGAAGCTGACACACATTCATTCCATTTTGTGGTATACATTTGTTTGAACCTTTTCACATTTCTCACATCATTTTCCTCTCCTGCTATCATTGCTTCACATTCTGCAATATCTGCCATTTTTTTAAGGTTGTGCCCAAGTTTCAGTGCCAAAGATGGAACAGCAAAGACCTCATCTTGCTCTCGGAATCCCGCGGTATCTTTAACAGCCTGGATGACATGATAGAAGTTTGAGGGAAGAAAAAAGTCCTTGATACTCTGTAGCTTTCCCACCTTCCTAGCACACACCAACAGCCTTCCAGCCTCACGCATTTTAGTTCTGATGTATTCGTGTTTTGTTTTGTCATTGCCCATTTTGTTGCACAAGTGTTCTCCAAATCTGATGATGTAAGCATCACTTTTAACTGCCTGTGTTACTTCATCTTGCTTCATGTCACTGATCAGTTTCCATAATTTTTTATTTACTCCCTCAGGAACGGGCTGTGCATAAGCACAGAGTGCTTGAACTCTGGATCGACCTGGTTTTGTGACCTCGCACTTCTTGGCCAGTTTGCACCTTGACATATGTCTCCAAAGTGCCTTTCGTCTAAACAGCCCTTGGCAGTTCAAACAGTGCATGTAGTCTTTAACATCCACATTTTTAGCAGTGGTTTGTTGACGTGGCACCAGCTCTCCACTGCCAGCTTTCAAAACTTTTGTGTTGTGTTCACGGTTGCCTTTATTCCTCAAAAGATCCAGATGAACTCTTCTTTCTTTAGACCCCTTCGGAAAAGAAAGTGCTTTCGCTACCTCCACCTCATTCTTGTGAACTTGGGCCAAGTGCCGTGCCATTTTGTAGAATGGTTTGCAGCAGAAAAAACAATACTGCCTTTTGTTGTACATTCTTTGTCCATATGCGGTCTTTCTCAGTTTCATCACTGTAACCTCACTGCTGCCGTCACGGTTTAGCTGGGTGCCATTTTCCTTGTGTTTAGGTGAGGCGCAGTCTTCATCTTCTCTCTTAGGTTTGTTGTCTGGTATGACACGGGCAGATGAGGGACTGCACAGGTTCTCTTCACATTCCTCTGAACAGCTCACAGAGTTAGGGACCCACTCATCACAGCTGTTTTCAGTGCTGATAATGAAGCCGTCTGAAGTGGTACCGGTGTGTAGGCCTAAGGATTCTCTGGTGAGCTGCAAATGCACAACTTGGATTCAGAAACCAGAATAAAAGTGGAGCTCTACATCACATTCCAAAACATTGAGCAAGTCATGTTTTGTCACATTAAAATGTTTTTTTAAGAACCATGGTCTTGGTCAATCCAAAATACTGGTAAACATCAGAAGTGAATATTCATGAAATTTAAAAGGCCAAGGTGTAGCTTTTTTAGAAAATCTGACTTAAACCAAACTTCGCTTCAGCTACACAGCCTCTACTGGGCCACGCGTAAATGACAGATGTCACTTAAAAAAACAAAACCTAAAACTTGGCTTTTAAATTTAAATTTTTCTGATGTTTACTAATATTTTGGATTGACCAAGACCACTTTTCTTGATGAAAAAAAAAAAAACTACTAAACTATTAAAAGAGGACATATTATGTCCTAATCTACTTTTAGTATCTTTTAGCTTTGTTACATCAGTGTCCCCTCATTATTTTAGCAAAAGTTGTATTCTGATTGATTGAGTAATTCTATAATGTTTTGCATCTGGGGTTTGAGCGCTCTGAAAATCTCTGAT